TGAAGTTCCATAGGAAGAACGAACAGACGGGGGAGGATGAAGTTGTTGAGGTATCTCGACAAAGGGAGGATCGTTGGGTGATGGACGAATACTTGGAATGGTCTACCAAAAAGGTTGATGGGGATGTTCAGATTGTGAGCTTCACTTGCGAAGGTCCAGAGGTAAGTTGTAACCAATTCTTGTTTATAAGAATGATCTTGGTACTGACTGATGACTAGTACTGGAAAGAACTTGCCAAGTATAATCCCATTCTGACCGAAACTCCCATCAAGAACCCAGCAACCCAAAAGCATGAGAGGAACAACAAGATTCTCAACATTTATAAGAGGCTGAACCCCGATTTTGCACATGAGATTAAAGGAGATCACCTAGTGGACGACGAAGGCAAATACAACATCTATAATAGGTGGAATGGCCACACCAATACTGGCACCATTGCCCACCTCATCCAAATCAACAACAGTCTTAGTGCCGAGATTGACATCGCTGCTCAAGCCACTGTCGCCAGAACCGACTTGGTGTACGGTGAACCTATTACGAACATGATTACTCTTTGTGGAGATGGATCTGCCTATGGTAATCCGAGCAGGAACTCTGACCCGACTGTGAGAGACTCTGTTACTGTTCAGTGAGAACTATTCGAGGCTGACGATTTGTAGATTGGTGCCGCAGTCAACGAAGTCTGTCGCTTGGCTCGCGATACAGTGTGTCACATCCCGGTCACAATCTCTGTCAAAGATCCTGTCGCTCTGTACATGTACGACGCAGACTTCTCGTCCTTCCTGTTAGATCGCACCGGTAAGCGAAGAGGAAACGTTCGAGAAATGGTCCCGGTTCCCGAAGGGGTCTTTGACTGGTGTGACCGTGGTGATATTACCAAGAACATGGGCCTTCATCTTCGCGTTTCTATTCCAAAAGGTCTCAAGACTGACGACAATGCCCGCGACCTGAACCTGAGCGATCTTTTCGACCAAAACAACGGAGGTCGCTACGTGCATTATGGAAGCCAATTTGCCGACTACATCTTTATGAGTGTTTCTGGCGTTGTTGGCCCGAAGCCAGAGCCTCAGAAGGATGGAGAACCGTGGCCTGGAAAACCTCAGCCTGCACTTACTTACACTGAGCCGTACCTCCAGAAGCCGTTTAGTGAGCCCAAGGTCTTGGGGAGCCCCGATATCTTCAAGAAGATGGGAGAAGTCGATGCGAGTGGCAAACCTTCTGATCGAAAGGGCGACCCGAGGGTTGAATTCAATGCGGTTGTCACAGCTTCTGATCTAGAGGCAATGGATCTGAGGGTGGAAGCAAAAGATGGACCATCGGGTTATATGGGGATGCCAGAGCCCGGTCCTCCTAACGGGCCGGACTACCAATCCATCACTCCGAAGGCCATCTACTAAGCCAATGGGCTGGAAGCCGAGAGAAATTGCCAAATGATGGCTTTGACTGCATCCAAACGTTTTCTTACAGCTGTTATTCGTTAGGCCTCCAACATGATTGATAATTCTTAATAACTCGCCAATGTCGAGGCTCGCATTCCCCTGACTGAAGCTGCAATGAAGCTGATTGGATCAATGGCTCGTTGCTTTACATAAGATTAACAGTTGAAGACTCTGTATTTCCCATTACACTATTGGCTTAAAGCGACGATGTCTGCTATAGAACAATGCGAGAGTTTCTCATGGGAGTTCAACCGTATACGAACTTGTTTTCATGTCTCGTATTCGGCGAGCTGCATGCTTTCAATAGTCACTTTGCAGAGAGCTCAGCTGCCTAGCTTAGCTCGACGCCACCTAAGACGCAACTGGGGATCTACGGTTCCAGACTTTCGAGTGACTGATAGAAAGTACATGTATGTCTCTCGGCGACTTATCGATGATGCAGAATCCATGATGCAACCAAAAGAGGATATTATGATGCCAAGACGGGATTTCAGCTCGCCACTCATATCAAGTCCAGCCATTCTGGAGCTCGTGAGGTGCGCCTTATCTATAACCCTTTGTTTATAAGACAGAAGGGTGGCAGATCTATCAATCAAGATGTGTCTTTGGACCCCATACTTTATATATGTTGGATTACTGACTGCTCATGTTCGCATACTTCAATCTCTCAAAAATCTCCCTTTGTCGCTCAGCCTGGAGCGATTCCAATTTTCCCATCCATTCTAATTGAATCCGAATTCTTACCCATCACACGCTCTTATTGGCAAAGATGACCACTTTTAAGTCACCGGTTTCTATGGAAGACGTTCAAAGGACACCCAACTGGGAGGACGACATCTCTTCTCTCATCAAAGCGCCCTATTGGGTGACCAAGAATCCCAAGGTAATCGGTCAAAGGTGGATAAATGAAATGCTTTACTGGGGCAAATGGGACCTTTCCAACTATGACGACGTCAGAAAAAGGGCACTTGGTATCTACAGACATCTTCGCTCTAAGTCAATGCCCGTAACTCGAAACCCAGATCATTATTGGCCAGAGAGTGCTCTCGAGACGTTTCGCATGTGGGCAAACAATGGTTTTCCGCGAGACTCCGACTGTCAGCCTACGAGATCCCCTGTCCAAGTCATTCCTGAGCCAAAAGACCCTCCGATATCATTCAGAGTGAGGAAAGACATCATGAGCCTGAGCCGCGAGGAACTCGTGGTTTACCAGGCCAAGCTAGACGACATTCTTGGCGCTCGGGAACTAGGGTCTAAATGGCAGGAATTGGGACTTCTTCGTGAGTTAAATTTCCTAACAGAAATCAATGAGAGGGGATTAGCTAAACATGAATTGTAGATGCATACTGGTGTCTTCACTACCAGGAAGCCACGTTCCTTTGGCATCGGGCTTATCTGCGATATGTGGAAGAATTGATCGACTTCCCTATTCCTTACTGGAATGGATATGCGAAAGAAGCTGCATGTGCGACATCCGAGTTCGCTGGAATTCCTGCAATGTTCCTTGAGCAGACCTATCAACACCCGGGAGGCGAAACCAGACCGAATCCACTTCGCTTTGCCAAAGCCTTGGATGGAAAGTCAAAAGATGGCCCGGGTAATTCTAGTACCGTGACGCGGGATCCGATCTTAACGCAAGGCCCAACAGCTGCTGGTTGGAAAGAGAAGATTGAGCTATTCAAAATCTACCATGAGCAAATATCTCACGCTTTGCAGCAATCAACCTATACAACATCAGAATCAGCTCAGCACTTCGGAAAACCCTGGGCAAATATTGTTGATTTCAGCGACAAGCAGCCTGACGAATACTATCCGTTTCGTTTCGACTTTGATGGTCTGTTTGAGCAAGTTCACGATAACTTCCATGGCTGGGTTGGCAACGACATGGTGAGCTGTTCAGCCCCTGGTCTGTCTGGCTACCATTACTAACACAATGCTAGGCCGACAACACTTATACTGCTTTTGACCCCATCTTCTTATCCTATCACGCCAACATGGATCGGCTGGCTGGTGTTTTCATGGATGCAAACCCAGAGAACCAATTTACTTCCCGGTTCCCGCTGCAGCCTTTTATCAACAATGGGACCAGCGTCAGCTATGATGACACGCGACGCTGGCACTATACCACTATTGGTGATATGGCCAAAGACACACGTGCATTAGGCTACATGTACGGCGAGCCTGCAAGCCCTGATTTTGCCACAATCAGAACAGCTGAAGAGAAGGGTATTCGCTCTGCTGTATCCAGTGGAGGACAAGCCATTGTCTTGCCGTGTGGTTTGCCGGGCAAGAAGAAAGGTTCTTCCGACATTGACTCTCTCAACAGTTCTGGCCCAAAGAGGCTCGTTCCTTATGTTGTCTTTACTGAAGTTGGATGCACTGTCTCCAGCTACAGAATAGACATATTCACCCCTAGAGCCAGTTCAACGTGTCCAGATGCTATGAGCAACCACGGGTTTATCGGTCAGATTACACGGCTAGGGATGGGGCGAGGAAGAGAGGATTCAGGACCGCCGAACAAAGGCAGATGTCGCAAGCCAAGTGCAACCAGAGTTCTTCCCGCTGAGAGTTTCCAGGATCAACTCTCTCGAGGTGACAAGTTGAGTATCATTGTAACAGATTTAGAGACGGGCAAAGAGGTTGAGGAAGGAGAGTATATGCAAATGTCAGGGTTCGTTCCGAAGCTGGTGTGGCTGCCGGTCAATTGAACAGCATTGTGTGAGAGAGTCTTGGCTCACCGTTTCCTAATTTGTTTCTCAGTGATCACGGCCTTTCGTGGCACAAAGATCCAAAATCAGTCGAAACTCACATCAGGGATCGGCGGACACCTGGGGGATGTATTGGCGCAAAGATTGCTTACACCATAACACGGCAGGCCGCATGCATGACGCCGGCTAGTTATTGGTCATGAGGACACCATAGCAACTATCATATGCCGGAGGCCAGCTGAAGTAATAGCAAAGACAACTTGATGTGGATATTGTGTGACCTCGCGTCGACGCAACATTAGAAAAAAACTTCAACATAGCGGCAAGCCGCCGCACCTCCCAGCCCGTCTGCTCACTGGCTGTATTGTATAAAGGGCCATGGCCCCTTTGCTTCTTCAAAACTGACACAATATCTTCTCTCACAATTATAAGCCTCGCAATTGCATCGACATTCAAAATGGCAACGTTGAATTCTCTCAAGCGCGATCTGAGGCAGCAGGCCGCATCCCATGGACCAGGACATGTATCAAACCAGCCCTTATCTGATGCACAATACAGCGCCGGGTTCAGTTTCTTTGAACCAGGTTCTAGATGTACTACATACCGAGACTTTATTCTCCCTCAACTATGTCAGCTCCTCAACCCAATTCTTCGCTCGCGGTTGGGCATCTCGGTTCTAGAGATTGGACCTGGACCGAGGAGCGTGCTTGGAGATCTGCCCCGTGATATGAAGCGGAAGATCAAACGGTACACCGCTTTTGAGCCAAATAGTCTCTTTGCTTCGAGATTAGAAGCAGGCCTTCTATCAATTGAGGAGGCTGCCTTGCCGTGTCTTGAGATGGGTCCCGACATTATGAAGGCTCCGTTCGATCCTGAGAACTCACTTAAGGCCCTGGGAGACGATAAGTTTGATATTATCGTGTTTTGTCACAGTATGTACGGCATGACCTCTAAAGAGGATTATATCTGTGCCGCACTCGATCTTCTTGAACAGACAGCAAACAGCAAAGTCATACTTTTCCATAGACATGGCCCGCTGGGCCTGGCTAGTCTGGTCCCTCATCAAACCTCCAACTTCCCGACCGGCTTAGTTCGCGTGGCAGACACCGATGATTCGCTCGACTCTTTCGCCTCGTTCATTGCAGGCTTTGTACCAAAGTCTGACAAAGTCCTACAAGAATGGCGGGAAACTTGTCGCACAATCGGCCGCCGCGACATTGGCGACCTCGTCTTCGCTGCGCCTGAGGTCATGATGACCTTCTCGCGACACTCAACCGGGCTACCAGACTTGACTTCACAGTTGCCGGTAATTGCTGGGGACATGCATGTCAAGAACCGAGAAGCTCGTCTCCATTGTCCTGCCTCCATGATCAGACCAGGACATATCCATCAAGTTCAGGAGTGCGTTCGATGGGCTTTGGAGCACCGAACTGCGTTGACAGTCGTGGGTGGTGGACACAGCGGTCATTGCGTCTGGCCTCAAACTGTCGCCATTGACATGAGCGCCTTCAATCAGGTCCATGTTGTTACGGGGGAGGCCGGAAGCCTGGTCATGGCCGGTGCTGGTAGCATGACGGGAGACATCATCCGCGAGACCATGGCAAACGGGCTCACTGTGCCTCTGGGATCCCGGCCAAGTGTTGGAGCAGGCTTGTGGCTTCAAGGCGGCATCGGGCATCTGTCCAGACTTCATGGACTCGCTTGTGATGCTATTGTCGGTGCGCTTGTCGTCAGCGTCAACTCAGCAAAGATTCTATGCATCGGTCGTGTACCTGCGCAACACCGACCAATCGGTGCCATACGCCCAGAGAACGAGGAAGAACTGCTATGGGCTATCAAAGGAGCGGGAACTAACTTTGGGATCGTCCTTGGTGTTGTCTTTGCGGCACATCCGGCCCCAGCGTTCTTGGTCAGGAACTGGGTCATACCGCTGCGTGACGGCGATGAGGCGCAACGCAAGCTTGCCGAATTTGACCGGGATATTGCCAGTCAACTTCCTCGGCACAACTCTGCTGACGCTTATCTGTACTGGGACACTGGAGAACTCCGTCTCGGTGTGACCATGTACGAAGCTTCGACTGCTGGGGAAGTGCCTAGAACTCCCATGCCTATTCCCACACCCGTGGCCACGATTCTGGGTCCGGAGCACAGCATCAAGATCGTTGACAGCGTCAGGCTCTTTGAGACTGAGATGTACATGTCAGGGATGCACGGCGGTCACGCTGGAGGCAAGACATCCTCGTTCAAACGCTGCCTCTTCCTCAAGGATATCGGAAGTGCCGTGCTTGCAAACGCGTTAGCATCAGCCGTCCGAACTCGCCCCTCTCCGCTCAGTTATCTTCACCTCCTCCAAGGCGGCGGAGCAATCCGTGACGTGCCGGTATCAGCCACCGCCTTCGGCTGCCGTGACTGGGACTTTGCCTGCGTCATCACCGGCGTTTGGCCTCGCGAGCAAGACGGATCTGTAGCTGCCCGGGTGGCGGTGGAGTGGGTCTACACCGTCGCCGAGACCTTGCTACCGCTGAGCACTGGAGCTTACGGTGCCGACCTTGGACCGGATCCCCGGGATGCAGCACTGGCAGCTAAAGCCTTTGGGTCAAATGGTCCTCGTCTAGCTTGCCTCAAATGTCTCGCAGATCCACGTCGTGTAGTTGCTTACACCTGTCCTCTTCCACTGCGACCACTTGAACCGGGCCTCATAATCGTGGTTACTGGGGACAGCTGTGCCGGCAAAGACTACTGCGCTAAGATCTGGGGTGACTCTTTCAACCGATGTGGCATTACTGCGCGTATTGCCAGTATAAGCGACACCATCAAGCGGGAATTCTCGGCGGTTGCGGGTGTGGACTTAGATCGATTGCTCAGCGACCAAGAGTATAAGGAGAAGCACCGGCCGGGCTTGACGGCGTTCTTCCATGACCGCGTACGTGAAAACCCTCATCTACCAGTGGATAATTTCCTAGACGTTGTCTACGGCGCTGCTGGTGCGGGTGTACTGCTCATTACAGGCATGAGGGATGAGGCACCTGTCGCAACTTTGGGCCATCTCGTGCCAAATAGCAGACTTATTGAGGTTCGAATTAGCGCCGGATCGGGTGTCAAAAGACTGCGGCGAGGATTCCGCAATGGCATCGAAGATCGCGATGGCTCTCGAAAGGAGGATGACGAGCGAGCAAGGCGTGTCATGGACTACAGGCCCAACTTGTCTTTCCACAACGATATCCCGGGAGGTGACAATGCGAGAGCCTTCGCAGAGCACCGCCTACTTCCATTCATACATCAAGATCTGAAACGGCTGGGCGATATGGTGCGTATCATACCAGACTTTCCAAGTCCTGGCATCGACTTTCGCCACATCCTCGACATTGCCCAGACACCGGGCGGTCTGGCATTATGCACCTCTCTCTTTGAGTCTCACTTTACGGGAACTTGGTCAAATGTCAATGCCATTATCAGCTGCGAGGCGGGCGGCTTCATCTTTGCGTCAGCATTGGCGTTGCAAGTTGGTCTACCGTTAGTTCCGATCCGAGAGGCCGGCAAGCTACCGCCGCCTGTTGTTTCTGTCGCCAAGTCTGTGTCTCACATCTCATCGGGGCCGAACATGCTAGAAGGAAGAAGATTCGAAATGGATCAAGATGTGATTCGAACTGCAACGTCGGTTCTAGTTGTAGATGACGTGTTCGCGTCTGGGGAAACGATGTGCGCGGTTCTGGAGTTGTTGAAGAAAGCAGGACTCGAGGCTGAGAAAACCAGTGTGATGACGGTGGCTGAATTCCCATGCCATCGTGGCAGGCAATTATTACGCAGTCGTGGGTTTGGACGAGTTAGTGTTCAGAGCCTCTTGGTTTATGAAGGGCTCTGATAGCAGCAATCCAGGAGAATGACCTCTTGAGCTCAGCGACTCAAAGTGACTGTGTTAGATGAGGTCACCACATGTCTGCAAACGTTCTCTACAACGTGGGACTGACCTTACTGACAACTGCCGAGCGTGATTCTCGTCGATGCTGAAAGCTCCCAATGTGAATCTGATAATAATTTGGAGAAGTACCATAATCACTAGGCGCAAAAGCCTGTAGAACGACATCTGACTAGTTTGTAACCCAATTGTCGAGAGCACTAGCCTTACCCTCAAGCTGCTGCATAACTCCTCATAAGGTACTTGTGCAGTGTCTCTTGGCTGTTGGTTGATAATGATCCTTTTCTGCGATAACAATTACCCCGCGTTTGTGAGGCGCAGGACTTTCATGCCGTAGCAGCCATCTCTCTATTCCCCCCTACTAAACATTAGGTCGAATTTTGATTATCCCTTAAGATTTACCTGGGTCATCTTATCACACCATCAAGTCACCAAGCCTTCACAACCTTCACCAGCCTCCATCCAAACGCATCGCCAATTCTCACCGCAAGTCGTCTAGATATGGTCGATTCAGAGCTCCAATACTGGGCTCCAAGCGGGGCCATCTTTCCCGGAGGGCCCAGTACATGGTACATTCTCAGTAATGACCAGAGAAGAATAATAGCAGTCACCATGGATGGGCAGCAAGAAAGCGAGGATCTAGCCGTTGAAATCCTCAAGAAACTTATCGATACTCTCCCAGCTGACGTATACGCAATCAAAGTTTCTCCAGAAGGGAGTTTGATTTCCATGTCCAACGACCCCGAAGATGACGAAACCTCTTGCGTATATTATCCGCCTCTAGAGGAGGTTCAACGGCCTGAGGGTATCAGAACAATCATTCGCTCTGAGCTAAAGGAAATTGATCGGCTCGGTCCCGACACTGATCTTGTGTCGTATCAGCAACATCCAAACGACAATGAACCAAAGAAAGTCGTCTTCAAATACTACTTTATTTTCCAGTTCATTCATAGGGTTTGGAATGAACTGAATCTGTGGATGCGTCTCCCTCGGCACCCCAATATCGTTCCTTTCGATCGGCTGGTGGTGGATGAACTGAAGGGCCGCGTTGTTGGGTTCACAAGTGTATATATTCCTGGCGGAACACTTGAGGATAACCAATCTCGCGTGGTCAAACTCAGATGGTTGGAGCAGTTGACTAATGTCGTGGACGTTCTCAACCTGAAGCACGGCATCACGCATCAAGATATTGCTGCAAGGAATCTATTAGTCGATCCTTCGACAGATAACTTGCAGCTGTTTGACTTCAATTTCTCGGACCGCATCGGAGGTCCCTGTTATATCGAAAATCGGAATGATGTCAATGGTGTTGTCTTCACCTTGTACGAGATCATTACTCGCGATGACCATTTCAGGCATGTGCCCCACGAGGAACAGAACCCGGATGGTGTTCAAGGGCTGTCCACATGGCCCAAGCATCCAGAGGTACAGCTCGACCATCCGGTGTCGGAATATCGATCATATCTCAATCGTTGGGTGAAAAAGAGGCGCGAAGCGAAAGGTAACTCTGTTTATACGGAAGCGCCGGAGCCAATCGACTGGCCTCCGCTCCAAACTCCGAGAAGAGAGTACACCACCGTTGATAAGGAAGGGAATAAAACTGTCCAGCTGGAAACGAATTGGAGTAGATTACGCCGCAACGAGAGAAAGGAAGGCAACATGACGCTGGGATGGCAACGCCCACCGCGGAACAAAGTTTTGCAGGATGATAAGAGTTAAGTTGATGTGGGAACAACAAATCACAAGACGAGTGCAAAAAGTTGAGGTCACCTAGATGATATTTTCTAGAGCGAGCTCATATTTGGCATTTCTTAAGCCGAATGATGAACAGACTTAAGTGGACAAGTCATCATGTAATAGTATCTCACAAGTTGCCTGATGTCTACCACTTCACTCGAAACTTGGGTGAGTTCAATAATATTGAAGTATGCCAGGACTACCTCAAGAGTTCTGGAACTCATCATAGCGACTTGATAGCTCTTGCATACCAGCTTCGCGCACTGACAGAACTTCCTGGAGGAACTCCTCCTTACGCAAAGGCCCTGGCCAGCCGCACTCATAATACAAGTTCTTGATACCCTAGAAGATGTCATAAGTAGGTCAATACTCACGTTTTACACATACTTATGCAGAGAAAGTCACCAGTTGATGCACGTGTTTGCTCACCTCCGATCCAGAGTCCCCGCTCTGCAAAATGCTCTTCCCGAAATCTCCCGCCGCAGGAGCCGGCACAAGTGTTAGAGAAGAAATCTGTGTTCGAATCTTGTCAAAGAACTCTTGAAACGAGAGAGCCTTCGCTTTGAGCCACCACATTTGCTGTTCGTCGACCTCAGCAGGCTCGTCGTCAAATAAGTAGTATTCATCCGCGTGAGGATAGACACAGCCTGACAAATGAGACGCAGTTGATCAGTACATATCTGGCAAGCTTAGAGGGTTTGATTTCACCTCGATCGGTATCGATTACCCATGTGATTCCTATCTCTGACTCCTCACACGTTAGGGTGATGAGATGTGGTGGCATTGGGCCGTCGAAAGGCGCTAGGCCAAGTGCACAGAACGACCTCTTGTGCCAGTTGACGCGGCGGCCGTTCTCGGGTTGCCAGTGCTCATGCAAGTAGGATATAGCCATTGACGCGAAATAAACCTCGGTGTTCTTTTTGCGGGGATAAGGAATATGTCGAAGCAGCTGAACAACCTTGATGTCGCGACCCAAGATTTGCAAGGCGTTCACATTGAGGTCTTCGTCGGACCATCCTGCGGGCTCTGGTGGCCAACGAACATCCTCGGGCTCGAAGTAGGCCATGTCAATCAGCAGTTGATAGTGTTTCTTGATGAGCGATACGAGCTCGTCGTGGCTGTAGACGAAGCTTTCGGCCTTGGTAGTACGCTTCTTGCGGCGGGTCATGGCTAGAGTGCGCAGGTAATATTTGACTGAGTGGAAGTTGTTGACGCGAAGATCCACGTGAATTGAGGAAATGAGGGGAACACGCGGTTGGAGAGGCGAGGGTGTCAGGTGCACTCTATAGGCACGCGCCTATTGGATGTAAGGGGTTCTTTGAATAAAACCGACATGCGGGAGCCAAACACATCGAATGATGCCAACAGATGTGCTCCTGCTATCCAACAAGCCTGTTATTGGAAGTCGAATCCAAGATTGGGATTCGTAATATAGCTGCCTGTCAACTCGACCACACACGAGGTAAAAAACTCTCTCGATACACTCATATCAACACCATCCACAAAAAACTACGGTAAGGTCGTGCTCAAAGGCTTTTCCTCAGAAATCTGTTTGATGACACAGGTGAGTTGTCTAAACCTCAATATCTGGCGCGGGATCTCAGAGCAAGAGTTGCTGCAATTGGTGTCATTCCTACTTCACTCAGCTCCACCTACATGTATCCAAATAGGTAGGTCTTACACGTCTAATATCGCTTGCTCAGATACTCTGATTATCGCTGTTGAAAGGGTAAGTGTCATTTCAAACTAGATAGTCAGGCATGTGTTTTACATGCAGTAACAGTCTACGACCCAAACAAAAGAGTGGTACAACTTGCGCCACTCACTCAAATGGTTGAACAAACGCAAGGAACCCGTCTATTTATCGCATCGAGTGCGAATTGATTCAGTATACACATGAGTACTTTCACAACAGGTAACAACGAGCTTCGGTCATCCAGCAAATTGAAAATGTGGAACGGGGTTAGAAAAAAGCTGAAGAGATTTGTAATACTACATGGAACACGAGCAGCGCAAAAAGTGAAACTCTCTCCTTCCAGAATCGAACTAGAGACCTTTCGATGACAAGGGATAAACCATTACAGTCGAACGTGATGAACCAACTACACCAAGGAGAGGACGATCAAGGCTAAGCCTTGCTCGGTGTGGGGTGGTGCGAGAAAGAAATGTCTGAAGAAGCCTGACGATGACCCACCGCTTGACCCTCCTAACCCACCTCGAGATTCAGGTAGTGTATGGATCGATTGACAGCATCTCAAACCCTCTACTCAAAATTATGGACAAACTTGTTAGTTTATTTAAGGACTCAAAATTGGCGGCTTATTACAGAACCTCTTGATCTACTAAATATCGTCACGATAGTGCGATAGATGAGCTCAAGTGTCTAATCCTCTGGGGACTCTATATGTGGGGAATTCCAGAGTCCACACTGAGCATCACATGTAAGACTTTACAATACATGCAGGACCAGATCTTTCTTGGAACTACAGTTGAAACCCTTCCCAGAGTTTATACGCAAGAAGTTATCATTAAGTACTACTAAGTTATACGCAGTGCATTATATACAGACCGGACAAAATCAAACGTCTGTATCAACTCACAATTCTATCTGAGCCTTAATCTAGATGATAAGATTAATTCCATGTCTAGACTGTAGTGGGTGGCGGGGTCATGTTGGGAAACGTGGGCATCGTTTCCAGCAACTGTTGTGCATAGGCTCTTGCCGAGGTCGTCGAACATTCAATCTAGCATTGATACTCTCACATCGCATTTGAGGATAGCAACCAAAGGATTCCATGTTATCAATTTAGAAGCTAACTGGACATGAAAGGTTTAGAGATTGATGACCAAGCTTAGTCCCAGAACTTTGGCCCGAGGTAGGCGGTAAAGGCTACATTTTCGCCGCCTCCCGTAGAGACGATTGACGCCATATTATGCAAGCTTATTTCCCTCTCATCACCGCTATTTTCAAACAATTAGTCATTGTTCATGAGAGAGCTTCCGAAGTAGATTGAATACTCACAAGATGCATTGAATAGCAGCCTCAATATCGTAATGCCCCAACCCCTGCGTCTGTAGCAAGCGCTGGTAGCGACGCACAATCCCAGGCTCGTCGCGGGCGTATTGCCATATAGGCACGTACATCTTGACCACCGGAACTGCGTTGCCTGGCACCAGCTCAAACGTTGGATTAAGCCCACAGTACTTGCTTTCGGGTTCGCGGAGAGGCTTCTGCAGTCCCTCTCTATCATTCAGAGAAACGTCTTCCATATCCATAAGGAGCGGCCAGAGAGTATCTAGATATTTCGGTGAGGGGACACGACCACCCATAGTGATGACACGACGGGCTGAGGCGAGCGAGTTGACATGTGTGTGGGTGTAGACCTTGAATCGAGGCTTCATCTGGGGCCCCAGACAGTCGATGGCAAGGAAATGTATGAGATTATCCTTGCCATCAGAGGTAAGAAATGATCGAACCATTTCCCAGGATGCTAGCAGCTCCTTATCGCCACCGGCAAGTCGTCGCAGAATGGACTCTGTGACATCTAGTAGGTCCCTTCCTGTTGCAAGAGCTTTGAGCTGCGGAAACAGATACAGCTTCATATTAATAGACGGGCTGCCGCTATCAACGGGTTCGAGATCGAACGCAACGAAACAGTTTTGCTGAGGCAGCACACCGGCCGCGTCACTGCGACCGGCATGCTTCTCAAGTAGACCGGCCTGCTCCTCTTCAGTGAGGAATACTGAGTCGAAAAAGGTATCCAGTCGATCACGGTCTGCCTGGCATGCAGACGCGAAATCTTCACATTTCTTGCGTAGATCCTTTTGCCCTAGGGGATCATCGACCACATGGCTCTCAGCCAGCGGCTGTACTGAAAACCGTACTTTGGCCTTTTTATGAGGCGCAAAGGCGATGCTTAGCTCGTATGGCCCATGGTTGTGCGTTCCGATGTAGTGCGGCCAGTCGGCCGCGCGAGGCGGGTTGAGACGGGGAACCACAACCTCACGCGCAAAGTTGAGATAGTGCTCCTGCAACTCGGCCGAGTAGGAGCCCGTCCAGCGTAAGAGCGAGGAGAGAGTTTCTTGGATGGTGGGATCCCACGAGGAGACGATTGGTTTTCCTTGGGAATTTCCTTTGATGGCGAAAGAGTGATCGACTCTGCTGTAGAGGTTGGAGATATTCTTTGTCGCACGATTGCCGTCGGGGACAATGGTAGACTGGTAGGTTTCTGTCATGTTGAGGTTGTTGATGTCCACAGTCGTATTCCTGATTATCTGCTGGGCGTTCGTATCTTCCACATTCCTCATGACCTCTTCTCTTTGGACGTTTTATATCTCTATGTAAGGTCCGTGTCCTCTTAGACGTTCAATCATGGGTTGAGTTGCCGGCAGAGCCGGCGAAGCTAGGGAGGTCGCGACTGGTTGCCGTTTTAGGACTTTCAACACGTCGCCAGCCAGAGGCATCCATTCCGCAGAAAGTCAATGATTTCGGGATGATTTTAGCTCTTTAGAATAAAAGTTGCTTTCGGAGAGCGATTAGAAATTCGAATACGGGTCCGAGGACCCGGTATGCACAAGCCAAACTAATTGACAACGCTTGATAGGCTCTTGGACTCGAGATGACGAAGGTTATTTCTCACATATGAAACCGAACTCAACGAGAGCATCTGACCGCACTGTTCTTTGCCCCATCCCGATAAGCCGGCTTGACAGGTCTTGAATGATAGTTCGAAATGTCATGTTAACTTCCCTGTCATGGACGGTACCAATCAGCATGCATTGAGCGGGAGTTCATGAAAGGTCGATAAAGCACGAGCAGCTGGAAGGCTCCGTCTGAAATACTGGCGTTGGCACACAACCAGCTTTCAGGCTCAAACCATATAGGCGCCAGGATTTAGATAGACGGCCCGAGATAACCATGATTTCCCCGACGGCTTTTTCGGACTGGAGCTTTCTGGAGCTTTCGCTTGTAGTTTTTACACCTTCGTCCACACTCCATGGCCAAGCGCCAGCATTGTAGCCGCGAACACGCCCTCGGTGCTTCAGTGAAGGCAATCGGAGGATAGCATAACCTAAAAAGTTCCAACCTAATCATAAAGCACCACCTTTTTCTTTGTGACATCATTCTCACCCTTCTCAACATCCAGTCCCTAATATAACACCCCTCCATATAATCAATCCGGATCACGAACCTTTTCGACACTAATCCCAAGCCCGGACGGTCTCCTTATAAACCATCACCCTCGGAAAGTTGAAAATCTCCTTTTCTGTCAAATGACCTCGGCATCTTCGACCTCAATGTCCTCGCCCTCCCCCAGTGTCCTGACATCTCTTCATAGGTGGATGCCCTTGCCCCATACCTCCCTCAGTAAAGACTCCATTTTCCTGAGTTGATGAACAAAGCCTCACACGATGCATAACACCTTGTATGAATTCTCAACTTCAATCAACAAATCTATTCTAATTTCCCCCTGAGTCTTGTTCGTCCCGCAGCCCCGGTAATCGTCAGCGTGCATTCAACTCGTCTCGGAATCGCTTGTACGTCTTCCGTCCGAGCTTCGAAATGAGCTTCTCCTGCCGCTGGGTAAAAATACTTATGGGCTCCGGGAGCTTGCACAAGACGCCCATCAGTAACGTGCCAAGGCCATACGCTACTACGGAATCATAGCAAGGATATAAAAACAGTCAGACTGTTCCGATCTTCCAGTAGCTTTTGGAGAGAATAAGCCCAAGACGTGTGACTATAGCTGCTGTGTCGTTGATCACCACGGTCAACCTACGATGACCTGCCTCGTACGCAGGCTCCTGAATGCATTCGAAAACCCATCCTCTTCATCCGCGTTCAGACCCGCGTATAAATCTGGTTCGCCTAGAAGCAATGTCTTGCCGGCGACTTTCCAAGCCCCCTTTTCATCCTCATCATCTGCCGGCACCAACAACCAAGCTCTCATCCACGCGCAGTCTTCATGCAGCAGATCTGTAGGCACTGCCACCCGCATTCGAGTGTCGATATCACTCTCTCGGAAGTTTTTTGTGAAGCTGAAGCCCGTCAACAGGGCGGATTCCCCATCATGTGCACACGGAAGGCGTAGAGCCATTGTCGAGATCCAGTAGATGGATCGAGGATCCGTAATCCATGTCAGGAATTCCGTGGCAACTTCGACTGCAATTTGGTCTTCACTGCCAACCCCGCCCCGATCGCTCTTAGCAAAAGCTTTGAGCATATCTTTCGCATTGGGGAGGAGATCCTCGTTGACTTTGAAGTCTGCAAAAATGCCCGTGTTGTAGTTCCACTTCACCACTTCACGATCGAGCTGGACCCAAAGCCGCTTCAGCAAGTCTGGCCCACTCGACAGCACAGCAGCAAGGAATCGTCGTCGCGGCATATCCATGTCCTCTTCAGCCTGGAACTCTAGCATCTTGATCTGCGCTTTGAGCGGCGGAGGAGTATTCCGTATGATATCTGGAAATATGGCATATGTGCGCCGAAGCTCCTGCTCCGAAATCCACAATACACCACGATTGAAAAAGACCATGTCAATTTCTATCTTGTTGAAGCTCACGGCATGGATTCCTTTGACGCCCCCCAATGTAAACTTGTTGAGCGTTGTGTCCGCCGCCGTGATAGGTCGAGCAAGCCATGATCCCTTTCCGTGGAATGTCAGGGGATCCATGTTGGTGAAAGAAAGGGGCATCTTTTCGCCTGCTGCTAGCGCCAGCAAGACTGCCAGAAAGTACACTTCGTCTACTGTTGGCTCCTCAGATCTGAAGAACGCCAGACCAAGTCCGATGAGATTGAGACACACGCTGAGCCTGTCCCCAGGCATCAGACATCCCGTCTGGGCGATGGCGTTGAACTTCGCCATGAAGCTGGACCTGATCACGCCGGCTTTGCCTTCTGGGTTATCAAATCGAGGAGATGTCCGATTCGCGAAGCCGGAAAGAATTGGGTTGAGGTAGACGCTCCGTTCATTCCGATGGCCGAGTTGGACTGTTATCGTTGCCAGGATTGCGTGCAGTGTAGTCCACTCTACTGTCACAGTCCTGTCCTCGCCAAGTCCGAGGATGAAAACGGTATTGTGGACTCGTTGATGTCGTTTGTCACTCCAAGGCTCAGCAACAACGAATTCATGGTAGCACCATGAACGCTGCCACCACCGCGCTGCGGCCACTTTATCGTAGAGAGAGATGAGCAGCGAGACTTCCCTGTCGTCGGTCGGGCCTTTTTCGAGCACATATGGAGACCTATAGCCATCGTATAGTTCAAATATCCCAGCCTCGTCATTGGTGAGCTCGACATCCTCCAGAAGTACGACCAGCTTGCGGCAAGACTTGTAAACAACATCCATCGATGCGATAGCTCTTTGTTGCTCGAACTCATCGCGTTGGTTGATGCAGACCTGGTCGATCCATACTCCTTCACGTGGATGGCCTCGTAATTCTAGGATTGCGTCGGCAAAGCGTTTGCCAACTGGCCACACCCCTCCAGGTTCTGGAACCGATTGAGGTGTCCCCGGCCAACTCGGGTTATGCCAACTGTAACTGATGGCTAGAAATTGTCGGATCACGAAACGACTGTCGAATGGGATCCCGGTTGGGCTCGAACAGAGCAGCCGGAAAGGGGTGTCGAGAATAACGTCCGAGGTGCGTCGCTGGAAGCGTTCCGCAGCTTCTGCGGACCATGCTTGGAGGTTGCTGAGGATGAGATCGGCTTCATCGCGGCCTGAATCTAAGCTGCCGATGGCCTCGGAGAAGAGATTGAACTTGTTGTCTCTGGTTAATGACAGCTTGAAGAGATCCGGCGAGAGTTGTTCGACTTCAAGAGTCTTCCCAGCTTGTGCCGTAGAGTATTCGATGAGGCCAGACATTTTTGATAGTCTACCACAAGCGACCTGCGTGGATGTCTGTTGCCAAACCAGACCAAAAGTGGTGAGCCACGGAAGGATCAGAAGGATTGAATAGACCTATGGGATCTTAGAGGGACTCTTGTCCAACTTGGGCAAATTTTTGCTGCACCATGAAATCTGTGATGTAGCATGGTCAAGAAGAAGTGAAGTGCGGTGTGATATTCTGGTCAGTCCCCTCCTCAAAGTGTGTGGGTCGTATGTTCAGCTGAGTATCCGCAGCTGCTCGATGTGTGGTGTGATCGCCCAGGCTGCAGCAAAGCCTCAAACGGGAATTCTTGACTGTTTTTGGTTAGTAGTTTGGCCAAGCCTCTTTGCCTCAAAGCTAATCATGCCCCAAACACTCAGTCCATGTCACAATCATGGTCTGCCCAGCGCAACTCTATTCGGACGGTTTCCAAACACCATCGCAACGATTCGAAGCAAATTGCATCGAGATAGATCTCACAGCAATCCAACCAAGCCAAACAGTGTATAATCATGAGTTCATGGAGCCTAGATAATAGATATAGACTAGATAATGTATGTACGTGTGAGCTTCGCAGCGGGGTATTCCAACCTGACCGGGTTTCACTCTTTGCTGAGGAATGAGGTAGCTCGCCTCACCGAATCGCTGCGATCTTACAAGAACCAGCGGAAGTGAGGGCTCTTGGGTCCATCGCCCAACTTCGATGTTGGGACTTCACTAGCAGTCAAAGTAACGCCCTCTGCGTGATTCCTCTTTCGGTTGTCCCACATCATGAAGAATCCCAGAGCAAGCGCGCATGAGGCACCGGCCACGCCGAATGCCGCTGTTGTGATCAATGCGGGCGCGTATTTTGGAGCATCTGGCTTGCGGAAGATGTTGCTGCTCACAAGACCCATGAGGTTAGCCAGTGGGACACCGATTGAAGTCAGAAGCACACCTGCAGTCTCGATGTCAGTCTCTATTAGAGAACCAGAATTTCTTCTTAAGTTTTTACTTACGCTGATTTTCGTTGACAACATTGTTGTTGTACCAAGTCGACAGAAGCACACTCGGCGCTGAAGTGCCCCAAGTCATCATGAAACAAGCATAATATGCGAGTTTAATCTCAGCTTCGACATCGTCTATGGCAGCGTAGATGATGAAGCCGATGAACGTGAGCATGAAACCCAAGGCGATGAATGGGAACCGAAGTCGTCGCCAATCCGAGAGGAAAGCAAGGATGAGAAGCATGGCAGCACCGCTAACGTTCGGGGCCACTGTGTAGAGGTTCGTCTTGATGGTGCTGTATCCCAGGCGCTGGACGATCTGGGGCATGAAGAGACCGACACTCTGCAGCGGGACCCCAAGGCAGATTTCGATGGCGAGGAAGCCGAACTGTGTGAGAGCGAATCAGTAAGAGTCTTCTTCTCAAAAGGCCAAAGTGAAAGAACCTGAAGGAGAGGTAGATGCTTACCGTCGTCGGATGCTTGAAAACCTTGGCTGCCTCTCGGATCTTCATCTTCTCTCCAACCACGGATGAGCTGTCGACTCGGATGCGATGATGGGCAAGTTGCTTCTGCTCTTCCGTGAGGAACTTCGCCTCCGCAGCGCTACGCGGGAGATACCAGAACGCAAAGAACGAGAACAAGATGGTCGCAGTGGCCTCAATGATGAAGAGCCATCGCCAAGGATGCAATTTGGTGTTGGTGATGTGGAACACACCGAATGCCAGAAGACCGGAGAATGCGTTTGCCTACGATTTGTTAGTCGCTAAACTCACAAGTGCGTCATAGGTAGCAGAGGGGCCATTACGATGTTTGAAGCGGCGTAGAACACGGCCAGGCGTCGCGCAAGCTCACCGCGACGGTAAAAGGTGGTGAGATAGTAGATGACTAGAGGAAAGAATGCCGACTCTGCCATGCCGAGGAACCATCGTAGTGCAAAGACACCACCAAAGTTTTGCGCGGCAGCCATAAGCATCGTCATCGTGCCGAAGGTGAACATGAGAATCGGGAGAACGATGGCCGGGCCAAATTTCTTGCCGATGAGGGCCACGAACGGCGCGGCCGCGACGAAGGGCACGAAGAAGATGCTGACGATGAGATTGTACTGGCCATCTTTGAAGCCGAGATCCGTGCTCAGGCCATCGGTTTCGGCATTGCCTAGGTTTCCCTTATCGAGTGCGTTGAACAGGTCTGGTCGGATAATTACGTGTGAGCGACTACGACCACATTCTCTAGCGATTGAGAGCGGGAAAGGCTACTTACACATCACGGCTAGCACAGGCAAGATGTGAAGGTCCAGCTTCCTGCAGAGGGCCCTCTCAGCGGCCTTGTCAACGACTTGAACCACATCGTCGTCGTAGTCGTTCTTCTTGACGTTCTCGCCATCCACGGATCCATCGCGAAGTGATCCTTCAGCGCGTGTCGCTGGGGTAATCTTATTGTCCTTTGCGGCCTCCATTGTGCGTCTCACGGGCCCTTATGGCTAACACCACAGGAACGATGCGAAAGGAAAGTTCAAGAATCGTGGTTGGGAGACTCAAGTGGTGCAACCCGCGAGGGAGAGGGAGAAAAAAGCAAGGCTACAGTTACCCCGACTGGGACATTGCTGTCCGTGCCTTAGTAGACACATACGACATACATAAGCTTCGGATGGAGTGTGTTGGAGTAGCATTCGCTGATCCAGCATATCTTTTTCCTGATTGACGTATCTCTTATCCCGGTCATCTAGCATCCTTGTTGCTGGTTCGTAAAGATGAGAGACAAGCTCGTTGGCGGCCAGAGATAAGAGTGATACTCTAAGTGGGGTCATACAACCACGCGCACTCTCCTGCTCTCTTCGGTTATCCCATCTCAGCCATCCGTCAGCGAGGAACTGTTCGTCTGGATGAGTTCTAGCTGCCATGTCAGCTCACGGCCGGCGAGGGGTTGCGACGGGAATTTGTATCTCCACACGAATCGCGTTACGATAGAGCCCACAGAAGCAACGACCTCAGAGGTCCAAAGTCGAACGCCCTACTGTGGACGTACGCTAGTTTCCAGGACTGGTACCACGCACGGGAGGTCTCTAGGGCTTGATGTCAACTGTTACTCCTCTCCTTCAGCTCCCACGTCAGGATGCTTTCAATGACTGCTCATGGCTTGGCCTATCCGTATCCTTTGCTGGACCTCTTGCTAGTAAGTCTTTACTCAAGAGTGCGATTGAGAGCAAACATGCCATATCTGCATTGAGGTGTACGGCTTGATAAGGATGGATGCCGATGGCCTATGGCATAGCAGCCCATTCATCAATATGCACCCCGCAATCCACAAAGCTTGCAGTGACTCCATCATAGTGGGGCGAGCCGACGAGAGCTGAAGAGCCGTGCAAGCAGCCTCTGGCCCTTAAGACGAAGGCTGGTGATGAGCGGTCCGTGGGGGTACAACTCCTGCTCAACACCTTTCAAGGCGCGAGCATCTCGTAATAGTAACTCAATGGAGTGACGGCCGAATTCGAGACAAAACCCGAGATTCAGGGACAGAAATACGATTCCGAAGTGACCCACAAGTGAATGCTTAGAGAAGATAAGGATGAGCTATCCGGGGTGTTGAAACGTTGCAATCCCGCTCACCTCAGGATTGCGGGGTTGATAGGACGATCCCTCGCAACTCTCCGCGGGCAGTTCCAGCTCATCCGAGAACGGAGACTTCGACGGGTACCCCTATCACAAAGAAGACGACGCTCACGATGAGTGCGATGGATTATCGATGGGGTTTGCGAATGACTAGTAGCTTTCATGATGATATCTAAATTGCGAGTTGGTCGACGGAGAGGCAGTGAGATCAAACTTTTGCGCTCATGTAGAAACACACTATTTAGAACCGTACTCAAGATACTCCAGCACAGAATACTTGCATGGACTTACCGATCACCATGTCCTCCTCAAAGACCCCCGTTCTCACAGATAAGGCCCCTAAGCCCCTGCCCGGCATCTACAGCCAAGCCATTATTGCCAATGGCATGGTCTTCTGCTCCGGCGCCGTTCCCATGGACCCGGTGACCATGAAAATCATTGACGGTGACGTTCAGGCACACACGGTATGTGCATCCAACACTCCCAGATCTGCAACCCTATGATGCCATCTCAACTGAACACCCATGTCGCTCGTCGCTAACTGGAAACTTCAGCATCAATGCATCAAGAACCTGACCGCGGTACTGGAAGGCGCCGGTACCACGATTGACAAGGTGGTCAAGGTGAACGTCTTCCTCTCGGACATGGATGACTTTGCTGCGATGAATGAAGTTTATTGCACTTATTGGGGCGACATCAAGCCTTCTAGAACGTGAGTGTGGTGCCTTCGTCGATCCCATCGAGAATGCTGACTGGCATGGCAAAGTTGCGTGGCGGTCAAGACCCTTCCACTGAACGTCGATGTGGAAATTGAGTGCATAGCTGTTCTGTAGATTAAAATAAATCCTATTGAATATGAATGTCTCCAAGAACTCCAGAAAGATGATAAGAAAACGATGGGTGGGATGAAAAGTCAATGAGCCGTTGGTAAGCATACACTCGGCATCCACGGTGCCGGGGGATCAATCACAGTGAGTCCATTGCCTTAACACTCAGCAGCCAGTCCTTGCGTTAAGAAGACTGGTATGACTCAGATTAGAGATGAAATTAACGTCTCTCCATTGAGTCTCATTTGATCTGACTGATATTTCGAGAGCCTTCCCTCACAACAGCTCTATAAGCTTGTCGCAAAAGTACGTGATGGCCCTCCTACCATCTTCCAAAGCCTCATCCATAGCAATGAACGGATGCGGCTGCCCCTTCATGATGTGCACATCCGTCTTCACACCCGCATCCTGAAGCTTCTTCCCAATAGCCTCACCCTCACTTCGTAAAACATCAAGCTCACCAACAACCACAACAGCAGGAGGCAACTTGGACCATTCGCCCTCCCACAGAAGCGGGCTCGCCTCAGGGTGCGCCCAAGTTTCCTTATCGGGGAGGTAATGGTAACGGTACCACATCATTTTCTCCGCCGGCAACGCGGGCGTGAACTCGTTTTCCTTCCACGATGCGTGCTCTGGTTTCGTCGAGTCCACTGTGGCGGTGTTGTCTGCGACCGGCACGGAGAGCAGCTGTGTTGCCACGGTCGGGAAGTCTGGGCGCTTCGTTGCGCGCTGGCAGATGATGGCTGTGAGGTTTGCGCCTGCTGATGAGCCTCCGATTGCAATACGCGAGATGTCGAGGTTGAGCTTCTCCGTGCCAGTTGTGGAGATGGCCCAGAGGACGGACTCCCAGCAGTCGTCGACGGCTGCAGGGAAGGGATTCTCCGGTGCCAGTCTGAAAGTGAAGGTCAGTAGGCTCTCTTGGGACTAAGACTCCAGGAACTGCGTCGTCCTGTGCTATGGTACTCTACTCACCTATAGTCTACGCAGATAACGACGCATTTCGCCCGGTTGCAGAGATGCGTGGCGATGACATTCTCCGTGTCAATGTTGCCCAAGACCCAACCGCCGCCGTGGAACCAAAAGCATAGTGGCCATCCCTTGGCCGGTCTCTCTCTCAAGGGCGTGAAAGCTCGCAGGAGAATGTCAGGTCCACTCGTTTCTTTCCTCGGAATGGTGAAATCCTCTGAGCTGGCGACCTCGAGCTTAGGGCCGGCGCCGGGAATTAGAGTGCCGCTCGCACGAGACGCGGAGATGGGCTGGTGGTGAACGACTTGCTTGTCAAAGACGAACTTGTTGTAAAAGTCCTTGTACTCGGGGTTGATGCGGTCGACGACCGAGGGGTGCAGGGGGTAGGGCGGCTCGGGCATGATGACGGTGTTTTCGCGAAGGGTGATGATGGTCGGTTAACGGGCTGTTGGAGACACTCGGATTGCTATGATGCTTCACTTCTCAGCTGTGCGAAAGCAGATGGCTCAAGCTGTCGGCAACACGCCGTCTTTAGCCGGCAAACTCCTCCGACCTCCGGTCACCGGCCGGACGCCCTGCTTGACCAACGTTGCCAGCGTGCCACCCCGCCTGAGGGTCCGTCGCTGGATGATCAGTCAGTCATTAACGGCAAGATTATGCTGGGAGCTTTATCGGTGAGTGGAGCAGTCGGGAAGCTTAAGTTCTGGCCCGATGTTGCTCTCAGGGGTCAATTTGCGTCATGCTACCCCTCCGAACCCCGCCGCATGTATCAAAGCATTTGACAACAATTGACGAAAATGAACTAATGAGCGCATGGAAATAGACTAGAAAGTGGGATTGAGCAGACGAAGGGTGTCAATGTGCTTCAGGCTCATCTCCAAATCAGGCCTAATAGACGACTGGAGAGCGTCTATTTGGGTTCATGAATGAGATGTAGACCCCTAGCTCTAGCGCTTGCTCTTGTCCAGAGCATGTCAGCACTCAGTCGGTACACCGAAAAGAGGCTTGAGTTAGCTGACATTCGAAATGGTATCGAATTGTCCGTTTATGATCAAGATGATAGTGAATAGTTCCGGACTGGAAGGAAGTCCTGCAGCTTGCCGAGTTCTAGTCCATGTTCAGTCCTCTGGCGGGCATCACAACACGTCCCAAGGTACAAGCAGTTTTTCATCCAGCTTATCATCTTGATTCGATAAGGTGCCTCGTGTATAGCTGAAAGATATCGGTTGTCGAAAACGGGGCAGAGACAAACACAGCAGCCGTGCTAGCCCAGAGAGATACCGCCGTTAGGTAGCAGGTGTTCATGGGCACTTCTTGCACCGGCGGACAGGCACTTTGGCGAGATCAACGGCGAGCAAGGATCTTGTTTAACAAACTCTTTTCAATTGCAACAAGGAAAAGATGCTGCAATGGTCACAGGCTCCTCGATCTGTTCGCGTGATTACCCCCACTCGAGTCTAGAGTGCCGCTAGAAACAATTGTCGTAGGCATAGAGCTCATCACAATGACTAGCTTGTGACAATGACAGTCGTGTCGCGGCGTTGGGGTGTTCGCCAAGTTGAAATTTAGGTTTGACATCGAGTTATCCTGAGCAATTTGCAAGCCGACTGATGGGTCACACGAATGCGATAATCAAGAGTCCATCAGGTACTGATAGCTATTACTTAAGCCGGTCTACAGTCATGAAAACTTGACATTCGCAGGACCCTGGACTCTACGCAGCTATGAAGCTCGCAATATCATGTACTTGTACCGAGCTTTGTCGCCTCTCTAGTCACCTCCTCGAATCGCATACGTGGCAGGGATAGTCGTATTGTACAAGTCTCGGGTGAGCGTGAACGTCATGAACGAGATACTGCAGAGGTCGACACGCCATGTTCATTGAGAAGTACCAGGCTATATCCCCCAGGTATCCTACAATGTTATCTGGTCGGCTTTCGCATCGAGTCGTGGGTCTCTTGAGATGTCATCATTTCCTTAGTCCACATCGACACCAAGCTTCCGCAGGTCGACGACGGCCTCCTCAATCTCGGCCATGAGCTCCTTGTGCGCCTCGGGCACATCGTTGAAGGTCATGACATTGTATCCGAGCTTTGCGAGGAGGTAGGAGCCGAAGGAGATCAGGGCCCAGAAGGGCAGCTGTGCGCACGGGTACAGGTTAGCAAGGTTGAATCGGGTTGCAGGGTTGCTTTCGAGAGTGTGCTCGCGGTTACGTACAACGGGGACAACATCGTTCTGAATCTTGGCGGGAATCGGGATGAGCTGGAGGAATAGTGCGAGGTAGAGCTACAAAAAGCAGATTGACGGTTAGCAGATGCCTCATAGATGTGGGATGGCTCTGGACACAAGGGAGGGAGGGGTCGCACCGAGCTCACGAGGAGCGCAAGAGAGATGGTCTGCTGAGCGCGGGTCATGTTTGCGGGTGGTGGAATCTCGATGTTATTGGTGGTTTGGGATGTGATTCGAGGCTGTTGTCTTTGCGCGGAAGCAATCGTGGCTGAAAGGAGTGACTGGAAAGCTGGCGAAGAGATGACGATTCTCGTGCCCTTGAAAGCACTGACAAGTGGAAAAGGAGTCGCGAAGCTGTCCTGAAATCTTGGTGGAGCTCTGAATGACTAAGCGCAGCTGAGCCCTGTCACCCTGTGGGAGGCGGTACGTATCCCTGCCATGCATTACCGCACTTTACGCGATTGACCCACCCGCGACGGTGGCAGGCGCGAGGTCTGCGGCTCCTTCCCTTCCCTCACCGCTGAGCAATTCCATGAAAATGACAATTCACTTGAATGATGCATGCCTCTCTCACGAAGCTGTGGAATTTACTTGAGAAATATGACTCTCTACCTATGAAAGTAAACTTCTGGCAAGAGTCTTTACGGCGCAGGATAGCCCGTCAAGAAACCCAACCCAATCAAGTCTGAGCACCCATGTGAATGAGGTTACTTACCACGAATACAAGTCTCATCATGAGGCTTTTCTATGATTCAGGCCTAAGCATAGCCTACTGAAAGCAAATTCCGAATCCAATCAAGTCGGTCCATATGTTTCGAGTAAAGTAGTTCAGTCGTGATAACTACGAACGCAATATGCTTCGTTAGACTCAAACTAAGGTGAACTCATGTTTGCCGCGTTGCCGAATGCTTGACTCTCGAGTGCCGTCGCGAACATATTGACATAGTAAAACACTCTCAGGGACCGAAAACTCGCACCAATCGCATCGCAGGCCACCTGCTGGAACGCAGTCGGGATGGGCTTGTCATGAGCCTGACTTGGGCACGACGATGATGAGGGGAACTGGTCAGTGCAGGAACACGCAACCTCCATAACTCTATTCCACAGTTCTTGGAACAAGCTTTTGGGGGTAATCTACAACGAACTGGAAGAAGACTCGTTGCCATGTTCGCCCGGCCGTCCCAAGATGGCGGGGGTGAAGTGCGTGGCAGACCGCTTGATCATTACGGCTGAGGGGTTCTTGAGGTCAAAAGCTTTATAGGCAATATTGCCGCGCTCGGGAAGTATGATCGAATCCTTCACGCCATTTTCTGTCAGCACCTAAATGCAGTTGACGTCAGGATGTACATCCTCAGCTTTCTCGCTTGCGCATCTGGGCTTTTGGGTACGGTATCTGGCGACTTTGGCCTGACGACATCAGACACCAGTTACACGATCGACACCAATGGCGGACTAGTATTCGAAGTTAATCGGTACGGGAGATAGAAAATCAACCAAACTACACTTGAAATGAGTGAAGGGAAGCTGACAAGAAATCTAAGCACAAATGGCGATATCACCAGTCTGCTCTATAACGGTGTTCAGTTTCAAAGCACAAGCAAGATGTCACAGATCAACTCCGGTCTAGGAACTTCAACGGTCACAGCCGATACTATCAGCGGGCACGCCAAGATCACCGTCAAGGCCGGCTCACAACCCTTGACACATTATTATGTTGCTAAGCCAGGCGATCCAACCATCTACATGGCGACTCATATCACGGGTGAGATCACTCCTGGTGAGTTGCGCTGGCTTGCCCGGCTCCAGCGCAAACAGGTACCGACTGGAGTGCACGGCGACGTTGCCGATCTCGACGGATGCGTAGCATTTGAAGGCAAGGATACCTTCAAGTGTCCAGATGGCACTACTAGATGCAAGATGTACACATCTGACCGTTTCATTGACGACCAGGTCCACGGCGTGACCGGCGATGTAAGTCAGAAAGAAAGCGGTCGCGGGTTAAGTGAGATTAACGATTACAGAACGTCGGGGTGTGGATGATCATGCCTGGCAATGCCTACGAGCACTCTGCCGGCGGCCCTTTCATGAGGGACATCAATTCGCAAAGCACCGGCGATCAAGAGCTCTACTGGTACATGAACAGCGGCCATGTGAGGACCGAGCCTTGGCGATTCGGGCTTCTTGGGCCCTACGCAATGCGCTTCACGTAAGCGTTCTCCGCCTCCACAACCTGCCCTAGGATCATGTTGACAAGTCACGCAGAAGCAGCACTCAGCCGCCGTCAGCGGACGTTGACATGAGCTTCTTCGACTCGTTGAACATAGACGGCTACGTGCCTGATAACGGGCGTGGAAGTGTCTCAGGCACGGCAACGGGAATGAAAGGCAGTACCGAAGCTGTGGTACACTGGTCCAACCAGAACGCGCAGTACTGGACAAAGGCCACCAGGGGAAAGTTTACCTCTCCACTGATGAAACCCGGGACATACACGACGAGGCTATACCGGAACGAGTTTCCTGTCGCCAATACCAGTGTGACGATCACGGCAGGCGAAAAAGCCACGCAGGATATCGTGGCAACCGAGGCCGAGCCGTCAGTCATTTGGCGGATTGGCGAGTTTGATGGGCAACCCTTTGAATTGAAGAACGGCGATAAGATTCAAAGAATGCACCCCTCGGATGCTCGTATGGAGAGTTGGGGAGGCGATTTCACTGTTGGCTCATACCAGAGCAAAGACTTTCCCATGGCCTTGTTCTCCAAGATTGGAGGTAATGCCACCGTCAACTTCGACCTGGCCTCCGACCAACTAGAAGGCGTCGTTCTTCGTGTCGGAACAACGCTTTCATTCAAAGGCGGCAGACCTAGAGTCAAGATCAATGAGTGGGAAGGAGCGGATCCAGGGGCCCCGGTAAATTATCATCAAAGCAATCCCTTCCAGATGCCATTTGGGCATGCTCATATTCTAACACAACTCTCAGATACTCATCGACTCTCGCGGCGTAACCCGTGGTGCCTATCGAGGATTCGGCGACGTGTATACTTGGGAAGTACCTGCGAGTGAGCTCAAGACGGGGCGAAACACACTTGTGATTGGGGTGATTGGGGAAGGAGATGCTGACTTTCTGAGCGCCAACTACATCATCGATGCTGTTGAGTTGCAGGGTAAAGGGGGGACCAAAAACGGCACCTCGTCATATACTTCTAGATACCAGCGGCGCTTCCAACATTACAAATGAAGATCAGTGGCTACACTGTCAATTGGCTTTACTCTTCTCACTTCCAAAGCATTCATCTAATAAAGCCTGCTTTTCATCAACGCAGTTTCTCGCAGTTCCCATTATCTGTAGTTAGAGCAAGTTCACAGACACATCTACGCTGTTTTCAGACTGGTCCGGCCTAATCAGGTGTTGTCAATGACAAGTATCTCACGATATGTGAAGTGGATGAAAGAGACGATAAGGGGAAGAAGCGAGACCATGGAAAGATTAGCAAAAACAAATATTGGATAACTCCAGCCTCAAAATAAGGGCCATCGAGTGAGTCATGTTTACATGTAACATGCGTCAAAAATATACTGAGGCCTCAAAAGCTTCCATACAGTCACGGCCGGCAAAAATAATGGGTCTAAGCTTTCCGAAACCGAGAATCGAACTCGGGGCTATGCCTAACCTCTCAAAGAGATGAGAGGGCATCATGTTGGCCACTACACCATATCGGATGTGATGATGGAGTTGTGATCCACCGGTAGCTCTCATAGACTCCACCCTTTGCACGGAGATTTTTCCACAATTTCATCTTCGTGACTTGGCTGGCGTCCCATCATCAAAGAGGGCTTAATCTTCATGACATTTTACTGTTCTCTGCGGTTTACTTGGGATTATGGTGGTCGATAAGATGTTATGACTCCTCCTCTTGGCATAATATAAGCCACAATGTTTCTTGCCTACTTGATGTACGGAAAGTCCGAGACTCCAAACTTGCATCTCAAAGTCCACGAAAGATTATGAACCAGCTGTCAATGTCGAACTGCCGATCGATCTTGTTGTTGTATCCGTCTGTCCGCGTTGTTGTTCGAGGGAAATCTCGTCGAGTTCCCATTCCCACACCTCTACACCTCCCCTAGGAGCCCTGACGGCAATTCGGTACTTTCCTTCGAACTGACTGACGGTGGCTTGCCGTCCCAAGTTGATAGGAACCTTGAGGTGCTTGCGGCCGAATAAACCATACCACACTTCCTTCTCTACCTCCAGTTCTTGCTTGTGTGGGAATGGATTATGATATCGCCGTCTGCTTCCCGTAGCGAAGTTGAAAAAGTCAATACCTTCTCCATGTGTCATCAACGCACCACGATCAAAAAACGCCGTGGGCCAGAAACCTTTGGGCTTCCCTTGCTCGTGTTCTTGTTTCACGTAACCTCCATATTCAGAGTGAGTAACCCTGTCTTTCTCGATGTCCCAAGCAATAACCATGATAGACCCATTGGGCACATCTGGGATCCAGAACAAGACACGATGTCCACTGTCCGGTTGCCGAATAAGGATGAGGCCGATCGCCAGATTGTCGCACTTATCTTCCTGTCCAAGTCGAAGGATCGAGTTCTTGGCCTTGACTGAGCCCGTCAATGTCTCCAAGCAGATTGCGTTGCCATCCTTTAGCAGCGCGACGGCGACGTTACCCCATATTCCAATCCGGCTGATTTCTGCTGGCCCAGGAATCTCTGCCAGCTTTTCGTGCTTCCACTTTGGCTTTTCTGACTTCCATATAGAGTGTTTGTCATGCCAGAACACGACAAGTCTTTTCCCGTCAAGATGCACCGGGTGGAGCGTGATCCAGTCCTGGTAGGTCTGGTACACGTCCAGAACTCGCTTGCCCTTCTTCCAATCCCACAGAGAGCCGCCTACTTTATGCTGATGAAGTATGATGTATTCTGAATCATGACCACAGATGGATGCTGTTTTGACTTTGTAGATATCCCACGAATGGGACTTTTTGGTGTCCAGAGTGCCCAACTGCTTTCCGGTCTGTATATCCCATATGATTACGTTGGAAACTCCATCTACACCTATGAGATGACTCCCCTTTGATCTGATGTAGTGTATGCTGTTGCTGTACGTGAGTTGGTGTATCCTGTTAACTTTCATCGGCTCAATGTCTCCGATGGTATCGTTGTGTATGACGATTCCACTGCCTACTAATTCAGTCTCTGGAAGCAACATCCGATCATTGGCATTTTGCGGCAAATCCTGTAGCAAATCGCCACAAACGCTTTCAGCATAGGATGTGAGGGATTCCAGCCAGAGGTCAATGGTATCGCTGTTGGCGACTTTGATCTGCCCATTGGCACCCACAGCTTTGCGAATCCTCGCTATTTGCAAGGTGACATCGGAGACTTGTCGCAAAAGGTTCGTTGTGTCTTCTTTGATGAGGCCTGCATCGTTGCGAATGACGACGGTGTCATCCTTGATCGCTTTTGAAGATACACTGTGAATGGTTAACACCAACCTCGATAATAGCATGGAAGTTGCCGTAAAGTCGCCTACAGGTTTGCCAACTCAAGAGCCAAGTTCAACGAGCCCTTATGCATCTCGAGCATCGTTTTCAGCTGATTCACAGTCTCCTTGCCTCCCATCGCCCACCGTGCTGGCCCAGTTTGGCCATCGTGATTCCCGAGCTCCCCCGCGATCTCCGTTGTCACACCCAAACAGTTCCCAACAAGGGCTAATACGTGTTTTTCGAAGGCAGCGGGCAAGGAGGCCTTGGTTGCGGTATCGTCGATGAGAAGTTCGAGCACTATGCGCAGATCGGACAGTTCTCTGCTGACAGCGGCGAGATCTTCGCGCGCATCGCGACACGTTCGGACAAAATTCGTCACAGCCTGTGTCGTCTTCCCAATTGCGCCAATCAATGTGATACAAGCAGTTGTGATTGAAAGTGGATCGGCCATGGCTCATTGAATATGGAGATGAGAGAACAGAGAGTGTTCGCGAAACGTCTTGTGAGAAGAAGGACTGACAGCGTTTCCATGACATATCACGTAGGTGTGCCTCACGCTGCGCCTCGCCAATACTATTTGCTCAGCCACAACTCCTAGCATACACCTGTAGGCGATCGATAACGTGTTAAATTGTAGAAAGTCGTGCTGACATGCAGGTTGAGGCAGAGCTGAGACGAGTGATAGGCGGCCTCTGTCTGCAGGCAACAACTGGCTAGACCCCAAACAGTCCAAACCCATGTCCAAGGTTAGCACACCTAAACAGCGATGAGAGTCTGAACGACAGATGTCGTCATTAGACAGCCTGGATAAGAGCGGGCAACGTTGTTTCCCGAGCAGAGTACTTCAGTGTTACAACATAGCAGGTGAGTTATATCGGTACGGTCTCTCTTTGATAGATTTCACTTAGTCTCAATAAAATGCAGCATAAAACACGACTTCACTTGTGACCGACAAAGGGCCAGCCAGGCTGAACAGCAAGCGAACGAGTTTTGCCAAACGATTAGTAACGCTGAAGACTCACTACCCACCGTACTTTAGTTTATATAGACTTGCCAAAGTTAAGAATAACTCTTAGGCAAATGCAATCCGACTGCGCTATCTCGAATGAGACATGCCAAGCAAGGCCATATTACGTCTCACGATGAGTGAGCACTTGGTTTTTCCCTCCATAGCTCAAAAGTATAGATGACTGCCGTCAAAAGTCCGATATCGGCAAAAACATTGGACACTGTGGGAATTGAACCCACGACCTTTCACAAGCAAGCGCAATTATTCAGATCCTCGAGAGGATTGAAGTGAAATGCGAAGCGAAAATCATACCCCTAGACCAAGCGCCCTATAACTGGTGCCTGATGAGCCTGCAGCATCCACTAAGATCCGCAAACGGATCAGACTGGGTCCTCGTGGAGTCGCACAGTCTACCCAGCTGGTTCAGTGCTCATGGATTCCACGGTCAGCTCTCAGGGCTACTGGCGAGCCACAAAGCACATGGACATGTTGCAATTCCTCGGAATTGGCGTGATAGTTGGGAACGAAATCTTGGAAAATGAGGAACATGAGCCTGCGTCCAGTTGGATTTGGAAGTGGATCTTAATGCAGATGGCACTTGTGCATATCACCGGAGACAACGATTGCGGCATATTCACTGGTATTATTCCCGGGAGATGAGAAGATCTTCGGCTAAATCTGGAAAGTACCATTGTCAAATTGCGATCAAATGATCGGCATTCCAGAGCACGGAAACTGAGACACACTCAACTAGCCCGAAAGGCCCTCGAGGGTTTCCAGCTGGCTTGAGCCTGAAGTTTCCGATTTGCCGGTATCTGACTAATTGCGCGGTATAAGAACAGTGGAACAAGACCCGTAGCAGGGAGTAAAAAGTTGTCAGATCTTTTCAATTGCTGTTCCTAGATATAGGCGGTTTTGCGACTTGACGCGGGCGATGTTGTGCAAAGCGTCTTGAGACTGGGTGTTTGGGGCTTCAGACCCTGTTTCTTGTTTGACTGCAACCTTTAGTAACAGCAGAAGTTGTCAATGAGGCAACTGGGCAGTCGTAAAGACGAAGGTTACACCTCAATCAGAGTTGTCACTAGCATATGTAGGATTGACAAAAGCCGTGTTTCCTTATTGATGCCTTCGCCCAATATTTTGATCCAGCTCCCCACGTGGCGGTCCAAACAGGTTTGGGGGCCATTTCCACCATGGAATGCAAAACACTACCAATCCAACTGTTGTGATATTGCCTGAGGTTCAAGTAAAAGGACGCATTCCACAACTTCCGCCTCGAGGTCGCATGCAACAAAAGTAGCTGGGTCCGACCTTTTTGTTAATTTGCTAACCTCTGTCAGTCTGCATTCACACACATAAACACTTTAGCACAGCTTCCTTCGACAATATCGAGCTATCGCCGTACCACAACATCATGTCATACCGAGGCCCTGCGAAGAATCCGCTGATAGTGTTATCTGATGGAGTATGGACTGGTCGAGAAGCCAACTCAGAGTCCAACGTACAGCGGCTGGCAAATTTGGTGTGGGGAGAATCTGGACTGCCCAGAGACGATGACTTCGCACACCTCCACCCCACAGGAAAGGCCCATTATGTCAACAGCGTGCCCGTTGGCAGCACTTTCATGGAGTAGAGGACCCTTCCACTGCGATCTTCTTGAAGAGAATATGGCTAACTAAGGCCTTCAAGCCATGTAATCCACGGTCTCAACGTCCAAGACATCGAGCAGCAATGCATAGATACCTACGAGTACCTAGTTCACGGCTACACCCCACAAGAAACCGAAATATGGATGTTTGGTGTTTCGAAAGGAGCCTTTATCGTCCGCTCCGTTGCGAGCATGATCAATAATTGCGGGATAGTGAAGCCAGTTTACGGTCTGAACGGGGATATTGACGTTGACAAGACACACCGACTTTGCCAGGAGGTCTATCGCATCTACCGATGTCCTTCAGAAGCCAACACGCCAAAGTCAGAGCAATCGCGGATCTTTAGAAGGAAGCACAGCTGGGCGTTGATCGGAGATGGAGACGTCGTCGAATCGCCGATTCGTTTCATGGGAATTTTCGACTCCGTCGGGGAACGCGGCATCCCAGAGTTCGCGGGCGCAGTCGGCGCCGACTGGCCCAAGTTGCATGACCAGCACGTATCAAGCGTCGTCTCCGAAGTCTATCACGCCGTCTCGCTACACGACCGCCTGTACGCTTACCAGCCGTGTCTGATTTCCCGTGATACAGAGTACGGACCGTCGTACGGCATCACAGAGCGTTGGTTCCCAGGCACACACTACGATATCTGTCGACAGAGTTTCAAGGTTGTGAAGGGCGTGCTGCCGCAGCGACTCGAGAGTCTTCTGCCGGCGTGGTCTTGGTCTAGCAAGACGATCAGACCGAACGAGGTCTTGAGCGATCTTGTCTTCAAGTGGATGCTGGAGTGCATCGATGCACATGACCCCTCAGGACTCGTGATACCCAAGACCACGCTCTACCGTGAGCTAGATGGGCTCAAACACAGCATTCTGGAAGTACAAAACACTGGCGATGGCGATGTCTACAACCACATCCTCCAATTTGCCCCGTTCGGACGGTACTTCGACCTGGTGTTGTCGACGGCCTTCGGAAACTGGCAAGATAACCAGCTCTATAAGATGCTCTTCGCCTGCAGGCCTCGTCTGGTCCCCGAGTTCAACGCGTCAGTGTACAATTATAGAGGTCCCGATCCTAATCTGGATGGGAGAATTATTCAGAAGCTGGCCAACCTCCCGTCGAGTTCAACGACACCCGAGAAGCAACCTGAATCGCGATACCCATCTACATCATACGATCGATGGCTCCTGAGGCGATAGACCTGATCGAGGCTTGGTGCATTGTATATATTGCAGGAACTCAGGCACAATCTGTGGAGGTTTAGGTCATGGAGATAAGTGCACTGTTGGTGTGACGTGTCATATGGGTGCCATGCTTGCATGAGGTGGCAATAACTTCGCACGTGTTCTTTATGATTGTGTACTAATACCTAATTACGACTATGAGTTATCTCGTCTCAAATGAAATTCTTTCTTGTCGCTGGTCTTGTGAAGTCGAAAATCTAAACTTTAAGGAAAATGGTCGTTAAGTCGTTATTAATACTCCGGAAGGCGTATCTGACCCCCCTTCCGCGTCCATGGGTGGAACAAGCTCTTGGTCCATTCCCACGTGTGAATGGCCATGCTCATCGTGCCGAATAAGAAAAAGGGTATCAAGGTGTTGGCGACCATGTATAGCATACCGCCAGACCGCTTGACGATGTCGTAAAGCTCGCCACGAATGATGCGCAGCGACTCCTCCTCGTTCTTCCAGGGCCCCACAAGGCGGAACTTTGCATTGAAGTTGCTACCCATAGCCCAGGTGTACAACGCCTTGAAACCCTTAGAGTAGACATAGCTGAACCGTGGTGCTGAGCCCATGTCGAGGGCCAGCTGGTATACGTAGCTCTCGTGGTCGACGCCGCGCTTTTCTGCCCACGGGTCTCTGCCACATCGAGGGTGGAGCTTCCAGTCGATATCGTAGCCGGGGAGAGCGTTAGGGTCCAAAGTAAGTCCTTTCGACGGTGTTGTTAGGCCAGGGATGTTGGGGTACTTGGATCTGAGAAGTTGAAGGATCCAGTATTGGGTCTGCATCTCGGCGAGGGTGGGGATTGCACCTAGGACTCTATGTTAGAAGCAATACTCCGAGGAATCGTCCGGGGAGGAAGATCTTACCCAGATTCGGCCGCACGAAGCCAATGAACCCTACTGATACATCGTTGCTGTGGTAGATGGCTCGTACATCGGCTGTGTCGGGTGTGCCATAGCTCTTATCGAGGAAAGGGAAGCGGCGGGTGTAGCCAGTTGCAAATAGGATGACATCGGGCTTCACCATCTGCTTCATTTTCTCCGACTCCGGTCTGCCCGTATCGCGGAAGTGCAATACGCCATCGTCGTCAACATACTCGGGCCAAGGAGCAACGTCAATGTATCGACCCTTGGTGTCGACGTCAAGCTCTTTGATATAGAAGAAGAATCGGCGTATCCGCTCCATGGCCGAAAGAGGCGGCCGCCAAGGCGCTGAGAGGTATGGCACAGCACGGGTGGATTTGGCCGGGAAGACTGCGATCTTTGGTTAGCCGGTTCCTGGATATGTTGGTGCGGATGACGGCATACAGTGATCGATGTGCATCCTTTCCCGACGCATGCCGCCGACATGTTGGTCCCAGCCCTCAAGCGTCCCACCAATTAGCGAGAATGTAACGTCGATCTGTTGGTTGTAAAAATCCCAAAGCAGTTGGCTCGACTGCAGTTTCTGAGGAACATATGCAGTGTCGAAGAGACTAGCGATGGAACAGTCAACGGGTTTATCGTTTACTTTGCTATTCCTGCCCCAGAACCCGAACATGATTGGTGTCGGTGCAGTCTACAATGAGTCAACATCAACTTACACACATAGGGTTTCAAATCATCGAGGCTCTTACCTTGGGTGCAACGACGAATCCATCTCGGTGGCACATCACAACATGTTGAACGGTTTCTGTCGTCGCCGCGAGTTGACCGAGGTCTTGACCAGTCTCTCCCGTGCCGACGATGACGACGGTGGGTTTATCGCTTTTGACATCTCGTAGTTGGTCTCGGCTCTTGAATTGCGACGAGTGAAGGACCTTGGGGACCTTTTCCAGCCCCGGAATGTCAGGAATACGGGGTTCGAGATTGAGTCCGGAGCAGACGGCAACAGCATCACAGTTGTAGTCGAAGGTTGTGCCATCTTTGCGGGTGACGGTGACGATGTGCCCTCCACCATCTACCCTTTCCGTGCGAGTGACCTTAGATGAGCATTCTATGTGAGGTCGAAGCTCAAAGCGATCACAGTATTCGTTCAGGTACTGTACATAGACAGCCGGGGTGACATAATCAGCGGCATCTCGGGGCAGGCGGTGATCGGAGAAGGCGGTCAGGTATTTAGACGAGACAAGCTATGGCCATTGCTGTCAGCTTCAACAAACCTTTCTTACTGTCCGATGGCAATGCATGGTTTGAGGAACAGGCAGTGGGTTGAGTTCAGTAGTGGCAAACTTACTTCAGCGTCCTCGTACACTCGATACTTGAACGTGCCTCCGATATCATCTTCGGCCTCAAAGACCCGGATCTGGATAGGTTCAATCGCGAAGAACAAGTGCGCCCATTTCAGATATCTCGCCGTCGCCAGACCCGCGGGTCCGGCACCGATGACAGCGACTTTGAGAGGCATAGTTGGTTAGCGTGGGTGGCCGTGAACTTTCAACGTGCCCTATCTGCAGGGTCCTCCGATGTCGTGAAACATGAAGGGATGTCTTTCAAGAAGGGGGCACCACCCTCCACCGCCACGAAAGAATAGCAGAAAGCGAGAAGGTAAGGGCACGAGGGATAGCGGGAAATTTGGTGAGGGAGTGGGAGAAAAGTCCGCTCATGAGACGATGTGGGAAAACGGTCGGGTCTTATGGCTTACCTCACACCTTGGACTAGCATCGTCCGCACAGACAACGTGTTACACCTTAGTCTAGGGACGACGGCGAATCTCGGTGGGTGGAAGGGGGAACCGAAGGGGAGGGAGGTGTGGTAGCGAATATGGAACGGTCAAGTTCTGGTTTGGGTCGGCCCAGTCCAGTCTCGTCTGGTCTGGTCTTACTTTGCCTTCCCGAGTCTCTCGTCTTCCCGACAGCCCGTCAGGAGTACCGGTAACAGAGAGAGAACCCCTACTCCAAGGCCAGGAATAGGAAGAGGAAAAGGACCGGACCTAACACCGAGCTAATGGTTCGGGTTCCATACGTGCGTATGGGCGAACCAGTCCGTCGGAGGGATCCTCTCGACCCTCCCATGCTAGTGAACCCAATTGTGAGGTTCGGTCGTGGTGGATAGACCTTGCCAAGGGTGCAGTAGCGCCACTTAGTCCCATGCGACAACGAGGTCTTTCCTTGTTCTCGTCATCAGACCCTCGAGACCTAAGCGGGGTAGGCAATATCTCCAGCGGGGCGGTCCCCGCGAGAGGGATCGGCTCTTGAGTGGTGTGTGGTTTTTGGATTCCATTGTCTTAGATTGGCCGAGGATGTCGTCTTTCCTCTCTTTGGGAATGTGATATGTGGAAACCTCTCATATCATTTTGGGACCCCCTTCAACCCTCTGGGTCCGGTACTTGAGAGTTGGGACGTGTGGAGTTACCAGTGTTTATGGATACTCACTGGGATTCGCGTCAAGGTATCTTCTGCTAAGACTTGCAATCGACAAGATGACTTGTCTCATCCGGCCAACTTTGCGAATCGGTGACCACTCGGTCTGGGCCCGGCGTTCATTTTGGCTCAAGTCTCAGGGGCACAAAGACAGCCGCCATGCAGCGCCGCGGCGTAGCCCCAAATGCTGCAAGACAAAGCGTAACGGCGCCCCCGGTGGTTCCGGCGATTTCGTCCGGGCTAGTCTCGCGTGAGTCTGGCGCCTGTCTGGGTGCGCCTGGCATCCCCTGGCCCAAGCTGCGTTGCCACACCCGCGTCGCCGACTCGAAACTCAATCTGCTGTCATGTCTGTCATTTTGGATTACGGTGTGTGATGAGCGAGCCGTTTTACGTGCGTACTTTTGTTTGTGATAACTGGCTCATCGGCTAATGTCTGTCACATTTCTGCAAGCATATCAACTTCCATGACGGCGTCACATCGTCAACTCTCCACGTCGAAAAGTCGAACCGTTCTGACCGCCACTTCCATTCCGAAACTTGATCCTGTCAATCGGACCTGGACGACTGGGTCATTAAACATCCTCCTCGGTCAGGGAGACCTCCACCTGTCCTCAAACTTCATTGGTCTCGGCGCCGTAGCATGAGTCTCTTTCCGCCCCTTTCGTCACCTTATGGCCGAACCACCATGATGTCCACATGCTGCATTCGTCTGCTGCTGCATAGCCGTTATCCACAGCTTCAAGAAGTTTCGCTGGACTCTCCTCCACCGCTGGTTGAGCGCCCCCCCCTCTCTTCGTCGCCAATGATTCTTCTACGATCACCATGATCCTTGCCTGGAGCACATGCGGCGCATCCGCAAATCCCGTCCTGCTTGCGGATAGTCCCGCGCGTCCCCAAGATGGGGCTGCCAGTTGACTGCACTGCGTTTTACTGACGAGTCTTGACCAGTGAGACAGGAGCCAAGATGTTAGGATCCAGTTTGCGGAAGTCGTTTGCCAGGATCCATGGCATGCTCTGGTCTCCTACGTATTTGTAGATAGTAGCAAGGCACTAGGCGCCGACATCCACCCGTCAGCGACTCGCGTTGATTACGGCACTAGGAAGACAACCCCTGCTGATAACCAAAGATACGACATTCTACGACTCATTGAGTGCGTAGATCTCAACAGCACGATGGACACAGCGAAGGCGCGAGCTATGCGACAGAATTCGCAAGAGTTTCCATTCTCATCGTTGGAGACTAAGCAGAACCTGACAAGTCCGGTACTCTCAACGACCAGCGTTGGATTTCTGTTCTCGTTCAGCTCTACATGTAGGCTTCACCCACTTGAAGTCGCGAAACTCGACAAACTTTTGACCACCTTGACCCTTGAGCATGCAGGGCTTGAAATGGAGAAATACTATTGTAGCTAGGATGCAAGCTCGGCAACCGTCGGAAATCCATCGCTTTGCGCGGGTGAAGGCCCCATTGGTCTCAGTCGAACCCGACCGCCCCCCTTTGCCCTCTCACCCACTACTTTTCTGAGGTTGTCCAATGCTAGTTCATCTTTCCGTCTCGTCTCCTTCGGCGGTTCTTCCATAATCAGAGGCTCATCACTACTCACCGGTATGAAGAACCAAGGACGAGCAACCCAGTTGGGCATCCCGCTCGGTTTCGGTGAATAGTTGACGTAAAACGGCAACGTCAACTCCATGATCCCAACCTCTTTGCGAAAAGCGACATCATCGAACTTGGTATGGATATCCGTATTCATGATGTTGGTCTTGCTCCCAGGAGCGACAGCAGCTTCGGTGATTTTATCAACCGTTACATGACTTGCCAGATTGATTCCGGACCAAGACGCAAGGGAAGCCGTCGTGCCCATCTTGAATATCTTCAGCGCCGTCATGTTGCTGCTCCAGTGGTCGAGCAGCTCATGCCAGGACATGCTGGAGTGGTAAAACTCGGTCCAAGTATCGTCGACAAGGTCGATGTCCCACGTAGCTGGCAAGTACCCACGATTCGAGACTTCAACGTCGTTGCCGTCAGCGTCTTGAACAGTAACTATGGTGTAGTTGCGGTCTCGATCTAGATCCCAAATCTCCCATTGAGGGATTGTGCAGTATGCTTTCGATACCACCACGCATTCATCGAGGTACAGTTCCTCTATCCCGCCAGCTGAGCTCTGACTTCCGAGAGAAGCAAACCAGTCTAGCTGCCACTCATGACTGAAGCAGTATCTCCCCAGAGCTAGGACCTTCAAGTGCGGAAATCCAGACCCTGGTCCGCTGCCGGGATTGATGAGGCGGAAGTCGAACTTAGGCTGGTAGCCCCAGATATCGTCGTAGTAAAGAGACAAAGTTGTCAGGTTACGGGCGAGCTGTGGTTTAAACCACGATGTGAGTTCGCGAAGATAGAGATCTTGCCACTGGTAATTGTACTCAGTCGGCTCATCCTCTAAGTTGTCCCATAACGAGTTATCCGGGTCATCGGGTGCTACCATCAACTTTACACTTTTGAGCGTTGGAAGGGCCATCACTTGCTGAAAGATGGGCCAATCCGCGAGGTGCTTCCGATGTAATGGGTCTGCCGTACCATGATCTTGGCCCTCGTTGATATCCTCAGCTAGATTGAATATGGCCAACTCCTCTAGCTGGATTCTGGGAAATCCGCCATCAATTAGCCTGTCCTCTACGCTCCAAGACATGTCTGGGGTTTTCAGGTCTCCCATCCAGGCAAAGTCTTCCGACGTCCCCAGGCTCTGCGACAACTGAATCAGATCCTGATCCTCTTTACTACCGCCGTGTATGCAGTAAAGGGCGACAAGAATGACAAAGCGCCGAAAGCTGTAGATATCATAGAAACGGTAACTCGTGGAGTTATTCGGTTCAGCATTCTCGTCGCCGTCATCTGCATAGTCGGTAAACTTCAAGTTCAGAACCTTGAACCCGGAGAAGTATCTGAGGTAGGGTAAAGCCCCAAGGAAGTCTATGGGGAAAGGGCGGTAATCCAGGACAGCGCGAGCATCGCATGTAACCTCTCTCACATGTCGCCGAAGGTTTGCATCTTTTGCAATATGCGTGAACCGGTCGCAGAAGGGTGGCTTGAGTAAGATATGCTGGAATGACCTGGGAGTTGCTGCGGCGGACAGAATTTTACTCCCCAGCCGAGCGGCGTGGGCCGTCGACTTTGAAGTGTGCGCAAAGATGAGTCCAAGTACCTCCGCTGGTAGCCGCGGCAATGGAGAGGAATTCTCGACCATCGTTTAATGCCACACAGTTGGCGAGAGGAGACTTCGCGATGAGCAGGCAGGGGCTGCGTCGTTGTCGGGTTCGGATTGAGGGGGAAACTAAAATCCAGATGGCAAGCTAGGTACGGATTCTGTAGCCTGCAAGCAACTACAGCCCCACATTCTCAGTTCGCGGCAAATGATGTTGAAGCATCACCTGCATACCTTACTGACCTTAGTCGAAACTCTTCCAAACATTGCCTAGACACCTGTAAGCAGTCATGCCTCTGAGATTTTCTGCGATTTTGACTTATGCAGTATGGCGCAGTGTTCTCAATACCCTAGACTTGGACAGAGGTGGACTGGCGAATTCAGAGTTTAGCTCTTCTAATCTTACGTAAGTATCTTAACCCTCGTGTTGAACCAGGCTTACCCACTTGTGGGAGTCTTGCTTTTCTCCATGTAGTTTCAGTCTAGTTCCTCCTTTGGGGAAACCTTTCGGGCTGAATGAGGTTTCGTTTGGTTTCACGAAAAGTTTCCTTGCTTGAACTTTTCTTATACTCTGTACCCGGAATAAGAATTGAACCCAACTTCTGCGCGTTTTCAGAATATTCGACTTTGGTCATGTCTGCAGTAGCCTCTCTCTCTGTTACTTGACTTCGGTTGCCTGACTAGTAGCAAACCACCAACCCGACGAGCTCTGATGGTGCGACTTTTCACTGAACAGTCCAAGAGCCGACTTAGGCTGAGTTGATTTTGATTGAGTGTATTGCTGTTGATATGTGTACATCGCCGACCATTGACGCGATTTGGTCGAACATTGTCGACGCCGGAGAGGCAGCTCTTACCTAGCATCGCCTCCTGTCAATTTACAGTACTCTAATGTGTAAGTCGATCGTGCTACTTTTGGCAGGGCCGAGACTACACACATCAATCGTAACCTCATGTCTTTGTATTCTCATTCTTGTGGCGTGCATCCAATGAAGAATCGAACGCCATCGACGCGCCATGTTAGTTTCTTCGTGAGTTCTACCTTGCAGCGTGACTACTTAAAGTCTGTGATTTCATGGCATTTGACAGATATTAATAACCCAGAATATTCAGCGATAGCAGATCATTTTCGCAGTGATCAGGAACGCATCGTTTTTGATTGAAAATCGTCAAGTCCAGCGGTTAGCTGACAGCCAAGCCCACGAAGTTACAAAGTGACATATCTCCGCTTGGTTGGTTCACTCTTCACAATGTCAGAAAATCCACAGGTAGTCTGGTCGGGCCAATAATGTTAACGCGCTTCATGCAGGTTATGGCTTGGGGTTTGGGTAGGAGCAAACATTGGTCAGGATCCTTGCCATCTTCAAGCCATCAGGAATAAAAAACGGGCCACCTCTGTTGGAACGCGGTCGTTCTTTGTTGGTTCAACCCCTTCTTCCCGTCAATCCCTCAACCTCGTTTTCCCGACTTT